AGCTGAATATTCAGGAAGGCCAGTTCCTCGTAAGGCCAATTTTCCACTGCAGTAGATGACTGATGCAGTTTAAAGCACAAAAAATCAGCCCCAAATCTCTTTCTCTGCATCATCCATATAATTACGGAAATATTCTGTCCAGATCCAGATCAAGACCCTCCCTCTCCCTCTTCAGATGATGATCTCTACTTACTCTGATCCTATAAAGTGATCTTCTGTTAGTAATTGAGGAATACTACTCACAAAACAAAACACCTAGATATGGGTATCCAACCACCTTTTAAGAATGTCCCTAAACTCTATTCATTTAAATAAAATTTTTATTATATAAAATTCCTACCAGAAAGTGTATAAAGCATATGTGTACAGTTTAATAACTTGTTGTAAGGCTCACAGCCGTGTAACCTGCACACAGGTGAAGAAACAGATTATTGCCAGCACCTCAAGAGCATCCCCACTCCTGTATTCCCGTCGTTACCCTCTCTTTTCTCCTACAGATAACTACTCTCTTGACTTTTATAACAATTCCTTTGCTTTCCTTTGTTGCTTTGCCACTTATGTATGAATCCCCAAATGATGTAGTTTAGTTTTGCCTGGTTTTGAACTTTATATAAATGGAATCATACTGTATTGGCAGGGGGGACTCCTTTATTTTGTTCAGTTTTATGTTTGAAAGATTCACCCTGTTTGGGGGAGTAGCTCTAATTGGTTCATTCATATCCATAACACTGAGTTGTACTCAATATTTTCTTTTAGGATTATTTTTTTCTACAGCTGCACTATGAACTCTTTTTATGGGTAGTTTTTTTGGAAAGTTTGGATGTTTTTAAAGACAAAAAGTGATGCTAAAGTATAGTAAAACTGTTAAGAACATTAGTTCTGGAGGTAGATGACATGTGTTTGAGTCCTGACTCCACAACTTAGCAGAAATCTTGAGTAAATGATCAAAACTTTCTGAGCTTTTAGTTTTTCAAAAATGGGGGAAATAATAACACATCATAAAATTGTTATAAAGAAAAACAAAAGTTCATAAAGCACATAGTACAGTGCCTGGCACACGAACACAGATATCCTGAGTAAATGATGGTGGTTACTATTATTATTATTCCACTTGTTGAATTTCCAGTTCAAGAACTGTCTCTTCCGGAAGGATCTTGCTTAATACACAGGAATTGAGGAGGTAGAGCTTTAGTCACCAAGTGTCATTATCGTCTCAGAAATTGCCTTCCTGGTGACTACCCCATAAATTCCTCCATAAATCTATCCAAGGAAACTGTGCTGTGTGGACTGACAGCCTCCCACCTTATGAATGGGTGAGGAACCTAGAGCCCTCAGTGACTCCGAACTGAGTTGCCCTTGAACAAACACCAGTTGTTGCATTCATCCACTAAGCAGGTGAGGCAGAGTAGAAATATTCTAATCCCCCATCTTTTCTAAGACTGAGTACTAGGGAGTTCCCTGGTGGTCTAGTGGTTAGGATTCAGCACTTTCACAGTCATGGCCCAGGTTCAATCCCTTGTCAGGGAACTGAGATCCCACAAGCCGAGTGGTGTGGCCAAATAAATAAATAAATTTTGTTAAAAAAAAAAAAAAAGACCGCATACTAGAGATGTAACCCTTGACGTGCTATTAAGAATGTACTGCTTTCACAGTGGCAGCATGCTATCTGAGAGATGCACACGATTCCACAGGCATGTCGGATTCAGGAATCAGGGTTATATTCATTCACTCATTCAACAAATATTTATAGAATAACTGTGTGACATGACAGGGACTGTTTCAGGTAGCTGGAATACAGCAGTGAGTTATTAAAAGTATCAAGACTTGGGCTTCCCTGGTGGCGCAGTGGTTGAGAGTCCGCCTGCTGATGCAGGGGACGCGGGTTCGTGCCCCGATCCGGGAAGATCCCACATGCCGCCGAGCGGCTGGGCCCGTGGGCCATGGCCACTGAGCCTGCGCGTCCGGAGCCTGTGCTCCGCAACGGGAGAGGCCACAGCAGTGAGAGGCCCGCGTACCGCAAAAAAAAAAAAAGTCTCAGGTGAAAGTATCAAGACTTGTTTTCTTACCAAGCATTTGGTTTATCTTGGTGAATGGTCCACATGCCTCCTAGCAATCTTATAAAGTGTATTACTTATTATCATCCCAAATTTACAGCGGAGAAAAATGAAGCTTATGCATTTAGCTTCCCTTCCAGCTAATAAGTGGCAACACTGAGTTGTTGGTTTTTTTTAAACTCTTAACACTGAGATTTTGAACCTAAATTTCTGACACGATAATCTGAGCTCTTAACTTTCTCCTTTACATATGAAAAGGAATAAAAGAATTGTTTTTTTAATCTTATTCATTTTACTGCAAGTACAGTCAACAAATTTCTAATCATGGGTCCTCTGAGAATAATATTTACTTTGTTTCTGAGTCATGAGGATTTTCACCAAATAATGTTCATTAGTGGATAATAGTGGTTAATACTACAATGAGTTGCCAAGAAGGAATATTTGACTAATTAAAATTTTGTTACAATTTATGATTATGTAACATGATTACATTCAGCATTGCATCATTTACCACCTAACAAATTTCATTTTGCTACTGATGTGTTTAGGTTTTAAGGCTGAATTTTCTTTCTGAACATTTTCAACTACTACCTAATAGGCACACTGTTAGGTAACAGTTAAAAGAATACAGTTTTTAGATTTTTTAATGTTATGAGTATTGTTTGGAAAATTAATCTGAATGGAACAAAAATGGTATACAACATTCCAATAGAAATTTAGTTTAGTTTTAAGTTAAACCATATTAAATTGCCATTGTGTAGTTTAAAATGATCAACTATTACCAATTTCATATAGTTCAAGTTCAAAAAATCCTACTATTCCATACGCCTGAATGCAGCAGTAACTAGAGTGTAATCTTTGCCAAGAAAGGGATTTTGGGGTTTTGTGCACTATTGTGCACATGGCAGGCACTTAGAAAATGGTTGTTGAATGAATGAATTAGGAAAGCAAATAAAACATAGTAACTAACCTTCCATCCTAACATCTCTTTGGGTTTAGGTTTAAAATGGGAATAAGAAAAATAACATGATATGAATGTCACTCTCTTCAAATGATAAAAAGTTTAGTTTAAATACTTAATTTACCCGAGAATTGAAAACATAATTTCACACAAAAACTTGTACATGAAGGTTTATAGCAGCATTATTCATAATAACCAAAAAGTGGGAATAACCCAAATGTCCATCAACTGATGAAGGTTTAAATAAAATGTGGTATATCCATGCAATGGAATATTATTGAGTCATAAAAAGGAATGATTTACCGGTAGGAACTATAACATGAATGAAACTTGAAAGCATTATGCTAAGTGAAAGAATCCAGACACAAAAGGTCACATATTATATTAACAGTTAGTATAAAATGTCCAGAATGGGCAAATCAAGAGAGACAGAAAGTAGATCAGTGGATGCCAGGGTTTAGAGGCAAGAGGAAACGAAGAGAGACTCCTAATAGACTTTTTCAGTGATGCAAATGTTCTGGAATTAGTGGTGATAATTGTACAGCCTTGTGAATATACTAAAACCCACTGAATTATATACACACTTTAAAATTAAGGGCGAATTTTACAGTATATGAAATGTATTTCAATTTCTGAAAAGTGGGGAAAAAAACTTAAGTTCTCTTCAGAACAAGTCAAAACTACACTATAAAATAAGACATGTGTTTATAAATGTAAGAGTATTAGGAAATGTTCCCTTGTTTAATTATAAACCAAGTGGAATGTTTGGAGATTTCAGTAATCTGACAGGGAACTTAAGAGGATTAACCTGACTTCCCCAGTGTTAACAATACCAATTTAAACTGCATCATTCAAAAACTACAGTCATATTAAAGTAATTGCAGCAATGACTTCCACAAAGAAAACCAATTAGATTAATTACTCATTAAGGCTGTCATCATTTTAAGTACTTTATATTTATATAATGGTTTTACTTCCTTAAGTGTTGAATTGTGCCTTGAGATCTAATGTATGGCAAAGTCACATCTCTAACCACTTAATTAGAGGTTGAGAAGTGGGTGGGATTGGACTCAATGTAGCAATGCTGACATTCCAGATTGGAACACAAAGCGAAGCAGGATTTAAGAAACCTAAATTCTAGCCTTCAATATGCAGACACTTAAATAGCAAGAACTAAAACTGTCCCATTCAGCAGTGCAATTTTTTTTATATTGAAATACAACATATAGATAAGTGTACACATCGTTAAGTGTAGACTATGAGTTTCCCTAAATTGAACACTCCTTTGGAAACAGCCTCCAGATCAAGAAGTAGAACATAGCACACAGAACTAGGGCTTTTTTTTTTCTTTTTCCTTAAGCCTCAGAGAATATTCAAATAGTTTAAATCCCCTCAAGGGCAGACTCTCAGTCATGCCATAGTTAAATTTGGGGAGAAAGGGCAGAGGACCCTGAAATGGTAATAACGTATATCTTAGTATACACTGAATTTTGATGGCAAATTTACCGACACCAGTATCTGCAATACGTCACCTTCACTGAACCACCGAGTAATGGTCTTTTTCTGGATCCAGAGATTCAGAAACAGTTCCTAAATTTACGCATGAGTTTTGAAAATCTCCCACATCTAGATGCTTCTTTCCAACAAAACTTTAACCAAATTTTTGGAGCAGGAAAGTTTTGTGTCAGGTCTTGCTTTTCCTGCCAAAGTTTTGAGCACCCTTGAACACTCGTCAGGAGGAACGGTCCCCTCCAGACCTCACACGCCACACACTCCGCAGTTCTACCCGAAGCCCGCGGATCTCCGAGCGCTCCCTAGAGTGGTCCAGGACCACCCTCCACCCTCGGGGAGCCCAAGCCTCTACCCCACGCCACCCCTCTGGTCTCCGTCCCTGCCCACCCGGGCAGAAACGCCGCGCTGTTCCTTTAAGGCCGGGAGCAGCAAGGGTGTGCGGGGAAAGGCCGGTTCCTCCCGCCTCCTTCTACACCGCTCCCTTCCCTCTCCCATCGGAGTTTCAGGTGAATGGTCACAGAGGGAGGAGGCCGCCACACCACTCCCCCTCGCTATTGTCCACCTCTCCGCTTCTCCTTCCCCTGGCGGAGGCGCCGGGACTCCGGGGAGAACTAGCCAGATCGCCGAGGAGCCCGAGCCGGGTGCAGCAGGTGGGGCTCGCCGGCGCGTGGCCACGAACCTCCCGCCCCCGGGCCTGGGGTTGGTGCGCATGCCCGGGGGCAGGACGGCGGGGTAGGTGGGGGTGGGGAGGAGGGGGGGGAGAGGAGGAGGGCTGGGTCCCCTGCGGAGTCCCGGCTGAGAGCTGGCGGTCTGCACGTCGTCAGGTGCGCCCTCCAGGTGAGCGCGCTCCTGGGCTCCCGCCGTCCTTGGTGGGTTGGGCCCGGCTGCAGTGAGGAGGTGAGAGCTGGGCACGGCGCCTGGGTCGCACGGGGGGACCAAGGCCCCCCGGTCTTGTAGGGAAGGCGCAGGGGGAGGACGCCCAGCGCTGGTTTCGGTGGCGGTTTCGCTCCTGGGCTGGGACTCGCGGGAACCGGAGAGGCACGGGGCGGCGGAGAGAGCCGCGCCGCGCGAACTTGGAGGCTGCCTCCCAGGGGCGAGGGGCCGCTTGAAGCTACCCGTCAGCTCCTTGGGCGGAAACGCTTAAAGCCACCAGTGTCTAGGCGGCGTGGGCAACTTTTCGCTTTCCTGGGGGCCGGCGGGAGGTTGGTGAACAACTAGAATCCTGCGCCCAGCTCTCCGGGCTGCGGTTCTGGGAGGTCCTCGGGGAGAGGGCCCTGAGCTTGAAAGCTGGAGCAAGGGGGCAGCTCGCTGGCCGGGGCGGGGCGGCTCGGACTCCGAGGGGAGCCTGCTGTTCTCCGCCCCCATCCCACTCGCTTTGGGTGTCCCTGGAGGAGAGGGGGTGGCCGGGTTTAATCCGTGCAGTATTCCTGGAGACCTGGGGTGGGCCGATCGGCTGTTTTCAACCCCCTTGGTGGGAGCTGTGTGAGCCCGCGTCGATTTATGCTGGGGGGCGGGGATTTAATTTCGAATGAAGCTGTACTTCGAGGGAAGCCGCTCACGCATGGGATTCTCACCCGTGACCTAAAGGCCGCCGCCAGACAGGCGGACCTGCCTCGGGGCAGTCCCTGCTCGGCCAGCGCGGGCGCGCACCGTCCGGGGTGCTCCTGGGCGCTGCGGGGGCGCACGGCCGCCGGGTCTTGAGACCCCGGGAAGGGCAGGCCCCGCGCGCAGCCGACATGTTGCCTGCGTTGGAGGAAGTGTGCGGGGCAGGTGGGATGAGGGTCCAAAATGGCCTCTGCACCTTACGGCTGGGAGAGCAAGCCCAAGCCCCTCGTGTCCCAGGTGAAGCAGCTGAGCCGGAGGAGAGGCACGGCATCCTCGGGCCGGCCCTGGGGCTGGCCGGGCAACCTACCCACCTGGGAAATGACTCAGGGCGGGGAGGAGGCAGCCTTCCAGGTTAGTGTGTGGCCCTCGCGCACAACAGGTGTATTATTGGGATCCCGGGAAAAGAGAATCCCTTCCCATTAAGACACTTGTGTTTTTTGTGATTGAAAACTGGTTCTTTCCAGACAGAGGTGGATTTCTCAAACTGTGTATTCCCTAGTGTAGCAGTGTTTCCTTTTGCACTGTACGTATTGAATCTTTATTTTCTCTTCCTGGTGTTTTAAAATAGACATTTTAAAAGGTGGCGCCACAGTAATTGATAACTCCTCGGACAAAGCAGTAGCCTTTTTTTTTTTTGTAGTTCTGCATTTATTTGATTATTAGGCACCTTCGTTGTTAGAGTATGGCGGGGAGGAGAGCGAGATTTCCACAACTTCCAGGCAATTTAGGGAAACGATGAGCATTGCCTCCTATGTGTAAGGCACTGTGCTAAAAGCCTGTTGTGCTTTATATCATGTAATCACCCCAGCATTTCTAAAAGCTAGATCTTATTAGAACTCCATTTTAAAAGTGAGTAAACACCGGGTAGGGGAAACATGTTACAAATGGGCTGGCTTGAAAACTACTTCAGCTAATCAGGAAAGGTATATCATTAAAGCCACAGTCCTTGATATTCCAGCGTGAGAACCAGATTTGGGGAGTTTTTCTGGAATTCTCTACCTTTGACTAGTCCTTATGGCCTTATATAAGTGTTCCCCATCTTGCTTGATGTAAAGGTAAAACTCTTCCTGTTTTCTTCTAAAGATAATGCTGTAGTTATTGCCCTTTCAAAATGATAGAAGATTGCTTTCAACCACATAAAGTAACTGGTATGTCTTTCACCTTCCCAGGAACCTCCCAGAGGGAAGTTTTCTTTAGTTGCATTTCAAGGCTTACTTGATTAGAATTTTAGTGGGCTTTTTTCATCCACATTACTATTTATGGAACTATTGGAGTAAAAAGACCATTGTTACACCTTTCCACAAAATTTGCCTCCAGGGTTGCAGCTGTTCTGTACCTTCATGCTTTCCAGTCTTGAATGTGGTATGAATCATCTGGGGATCTTATTAAAATACGGATTCTGATTCATAGGTCAAAGGTGGAGCCTGGAATTCTGCCTTTCTAATAAGTTCCCAGGTGATGCCTGTACAGTTGTGAGTCTGACCCTTTTTTCTCCCTTTCCCTCACACTGTAAGCACTTAACTACTTTTGTTGAACTTAACTTGAAGGATTGTATTTCCTGGGTATTAGTTACGTGAAGAGCTTCAAGGTATTCACTGCTGGATTGAAATCCCAACTCTAATTTGGGCTGTTGATTTTTTAAATCAAATATTGATTGAGCATCCTTTTGTACCAGGGACTGGATCTAGGGATCAGGAATAAGAGTGATGATCAAGACAGACATTTAAGTGCTTGGGAAGCTGGTATTCCTTTTGGGGTGGAGATGGTAGCAGTTTAAAAGAAAGAAAGAAAGAAAATAATTAGAGGGGAAATTTGCTCTGAAAATAAATTGGTTTGGTGGATGGAATGAGTAACCGGGAGGACATCTCTGAGGAGGTGACATTTGAGCTGCGACCTGATTGGGAGTTTCCTGCCATGTAAAGATCTGGGCGTTCTAAACAGGAAACCCTCAAGATCAAGGCCCTCCTTGGATTGATGCCTTTATTCTAGGCAATGATTCTCAAAATATATGGCGTGGTTAAAAATCATCTGGAGAGCTAATTTAAAATGTGGTTTCTGACTCAGAGCTAGTCCATTTCAAAATCTGCCTAATTTCAAAATCTAAATAGAATCATTTAATATAAACATAAACAACTTCTTAAAAGCAAATTAATGAAAGGTATGTAATCAGAAAGGAACAGACTGCCCTTGAATATAGTAGTGTTTATTTTTACTTGTTGACAGTTTGCTTTATTTATTTATTTATGGCTGTGTTGGGTCTTCGTTTCTGTGCGAGGGCTTTCTCTAGTTGTGGCAAGGGGGGGCCACTCTTCATCGCGGTGCGCGGGCCTCTCACTATCACCGCCTCTCTTATTGCGGAGCACAGGCTCCAGACGCACAGGCTCAGTAATTGTGGCTCACGTGCCCAGTTGCTCCGCGGCATGCGGGATCTTCCCAGACCAGGACTCGAACCCGTGTCCCCTGCATTGGCAGGTAGATTCTCAGCCACTGCTTCACCAGGGAAGCCCGACAGCTTGCTTTAAAGAATACTTTTGAAGCATAGCATTTTCAGGCTTTCCTTTTTAAAAAATATTTATTTATTTATTTTTATTTGGTTGCGTCGGGTCTTAGTTGCAGCCGGCGGGCTTCTCAACTGCGGCACATGGGCTCCTTAGTTGTGGCATGCAAATTCTTAGTTGCTGCACACATGTGGGATCTAGTTCCCTGACCAGGGATCGAACCTGGGCCCCCTGCATTGGGAGTGTGAAGTCTCATACACTGTGCCACCACGAAGTCCCAGGCTTTCCTTTTTTAGCTTAACTTAGTTTTCTAAGATTTTTTTGGCCAGTAAATATTTTCAAAGAGAGAAGTTTTTATACTTTAACATCAACTTAACATATTCAGTAAGGGTCAACTGCTTCCCTCTTGGCCCTGACTCTGAGTCAGGTGTTTGACTTATGTCCCTATCATTCTTACGACACAGTTTCTGCGAAGGTTCTGTGAAGGTGACCAGTGAGCCCCTTCAGCCAGATCCTGTGGCCTTTCACTTCTCATTTTTTCCTTCATTCAGCATACACTTATTGACCAGATATTGTTAATGTTGCCGTGCTGGGCATTGGGCAGCGTTCTTGGTCCTCTCTTTCCTATTGCCTTACCTTAAAACCCAGTCACAGGCTGCCTTGAAAGATACCTTAGAAGTCCTCCTGTCCACTTCTCCCCACCCCCTGCAAATACCAAACAAGCTTGGCATAAATGGCATGAGGTCAGATTGTTATTTGTTATTTTGGGAGGGTGTGTGGAGAGACTTCCTAACATTGAGATGAGATCTGACCCTCTGGAGTGTTTTTATTCTTTTAAAGGAACCATTTCTAGGACTACAAAGACAGCTCTACAGCTATTTGAAGACTGCCATAGTGGTCCTTTTTTTTTTTTTTTTTCGGTACGCGGGCCTGTCACTGTTGTGACCTCTCCCGTTGTGGAGCACAGGCTCCGGACGCGCAGGCTCAGCGGCCATGGCTCACGGGCCCAGTCGTTCCGCGGCATGTGGGATCCTCCTGGACCGAGGCACGAACCCGTGTCCCCTGCATCGGCAGGCGGACTCTCAACCACTGCGCCACCAGAGAAGCCCCATAGTGGTCTTTCTGATGTTGAGTTCTCCAGGCCAGACATTTCCTGTTTTTCCAGTCATTTGTCCTAGGACATAGTTTTTCTAGATCTTTAACAATCTAAGTCTACCTCCTGGAGAGGCACCTAGCTGGAACATGATGTTCAGATTTCACGGTTCTGCAGGGGTTTGTTTCTTTCTTTTTTTCTTTTTTTGATTTTATTATTTTTTATAGATTTGTTTCTTTTTAATAACTGTATCATTCCTAGATCTAAGCACTAACTTTGTAAATATTGGATAAGTTTGGGATAGCTTGTTAACTTCTGTTGAAATTCTGATCAAGGAAATACACATAAAAATGAACAATTATTAAGCCAGATTTCCGTTATCTAGTACTTATACTATTCGTTTTTAAAAATTGAGTTTTACGTATTTAAAATCATTTATCCTGCCACCAGTATTTGAAAATGGACACAATATACCTAAGTGCCTAAACACTGAAATTTCTCACCTTCAGAATAATCACCTTGCTGTAAATGCTTTTTGCTCATCTTCTTTAATACATTATCTTACCTATTTATCCCAGTCCAGAGGTCAGGATTATCCCCCTCTTTGGCACAGGAGGGTAGCGATGCTCACAGAAGAGAAGAATTTGTCCCCTCAGATTGTGAGTTTTTAACTAGGTTTGTTTTAGCCCATCATTTTAGCCTTACAGAGACCTTGATCAGTGTCGATGTACTTGCAGCCAGTGGGTTACCTGTCCTTTCTAGTGTCTTGTCAGCTGCAAATCTGGATACCCTTGTCCATTTTGTCTGTGGTCACGACTTGATACCTCCCTCCAGGTGGACATAAATGGTTCATTCATTCATCCTAATTAGCTTCCATTATTCAGCCCCGTAGGAATCTGCCTACCCACACTCTGTTACACGAGGATGTGTCCAAAATTCTCAGGATTCTCTCTGTATTCCCCTCATCTACCGGTCTGGTAGCCTTCTCAAAAAAGAAAATGAAGTTGATTTGGCATGACTTGTTCTTTTTTTTTTTTAAGATTTATTTTTATTTATTTATTTAGGCTGCTCCAGGTCTTAGTTGCCACATATGGGATCTTTTTTTTTTTTTTTTTTTTTTTGTTTTGGGCTTGTTTTTGGGTTTTTTTTTTTTTTTTTTTTTTTTTTTTTTTTTTTTCAGTTGTGGCATGCCTGTGGGATCTAGTTTTCCGGCCAGGGGTTGAACCCAGGCCCCCTGCTTTGGGAGTGTGGAGTCTTACCCTCTGGACCACCAGGGAAGTCCTGGCTTGTTCTTAATTAATTTTCTGAAATTATTTGCTTCACAATTTAAAATCTCTGCTCTTAGGGGAGACATGACAAACTCCAGGAAATAGAAGTTTGGAAACGGATTTTGTTGGCTGGATTTTCGACAAAACAAAACTTCAGCCTGAGTCTGGATTAATTTAGGATTTTAAGAACTACCGTTGAGCCTTGAATTTTTGGCATAGTCTTGAATGAGTGAGACCCAGTTATAGAAGAGGTAAGATTCCTCTGAGGTCAGTGTGTCAGTATTTGACATTCAGTTTCAGAAATAGGGTTCCATATTGAATAGTGTTTAGATTCAGTTTTCCTTAATGCTCTTTTTCTGAACATCAATTAAGAAGACACTTAATCTGGACTTTACTCTTTCATAGCACTGTAATATTTTGGCCTAAATCGCTCGTCTGTATGTGTGTTTGGGTGCTAGTTACAGGGCTGTATACACTTAGATTTGTGCACTTTTCTGTATGTTATACTTCAATAAAGCAGTTTTTAGAAATAAAAGAATGAAGAGAAGTTGTCTTTCCTCACTGTGTTTGGAAAATTATTCTAGTTGTGTTGGCATTACTAACATTTAGTATATTTCCATCTTTGAGGTTTCACCTAGATACAATATTTTATTCTGAGAAATTATACTATTAGTTTTTAAAAATTGAGTTTTACGTATTTAAAATGATTTATCCTGCCACCAGTATTTGAAAATGGATACAATATACCTAAATGCCTAAACACTGAAATTTCTCACCTTCAGAATAATCACCTTGCTGTAAACGCTTTTTGCTCATCTTCTTTAATACATTATCTTACCTATTTATCCCAGTCCAGAGGTCAGGATTATCCCCCTCTTTGGCACAAATTTTCTTTGAGAAATTTGTAATTGACTATTCTTAAGGATGTGGTGAATAGTTGCTGTTGATTTGAAAGAACAAGGTTTAAGGGTTTGAATTGATTTACTGTTGCAAACCTAGTAATGTATGATTACACAACCCTTATTTGAAAAGGAAAAAATATTAGACACTTTAATATACTCAGGTTATAGATCTTTCTCATGTCCTTCCCACCATCCACCCCCAAGCTTCTGGCTATTTCTTGCTAAGTCTTCCCTGTTATCTCCAAACTGCAGTTAATCGTGTAGTTCAGCCCTAAATAATGCCTGTTGTAGGTGCTGTTTTCTTTGTGCGTGACCTTCGGGAGAACTTGGTCTCATACTTAACTTCCACAGGCTCCTATGGTACAGCGTAGGCATTTAATAAATACTTGTTGATTGAGTGAAATTGCCTCTCAGATGTTCAGGGATTTTTGTTCTGAGGAATCTTAGAAGAAAATTATTCTGCTTTTCTTAGTGAAGAGGACTCTTTAATACAGTGTGTGTTTGATGTTTTTCCTTTTTTGAAAATTATATTCCATTTTGAAGACTTGGAAAAGGAGATAAGGGAAAAGTGTCCATAATCGTCCTATTTATAGATGCTTTTTGTAACCCTTTTTAATGAGAAAAGCATACTTTTAAACCAGATTATGCTTTAGTTAACATTGAAGGGCTGGTATATGCTGGACACAGCTATGTATGCACTTCCATATGCATTCTCATTTTATATGAACTTTGAAAAGTAATATGAGACAGAATAAATGTATTTTAAGAAATTTTCTCTTTTATACATCTATATTTGTGTTCTTTGAAGTGACTATTTAAAAAAAATACCACTTTTGCCTATGCTGTAAAAACCTTTGTGAAATTTTCATTATTGCAACTTTAAATTTCAAGTTTAAACAATATTCATATGCCAGTGATGTGCAGAGCACGATGCTAGGTGCCCTGAGGACTACCAGGCCAAATGAGGCCTACACTCAGTGATTTCTTGTGCTCAAAGAATTAATGGTCCAGTGTGTAAAAATGACAGTGGAAAGGACAAGAGGAATAACCAAGGAGTGAGAGGTTACTTGAGATCGGTATCATTAGTTTTCTTAGTGATGCAAGGAAACTATGAGCTCAGTAGTAATGTCATTACCCTACTTATGTTGCTTAGATTGGCCTATCTTGGGAGCTACGGGGCATTGCTCATCCTGAAGATCAGGTGACCACCGACATCAGCCATGTCATCCAGGCCTTTTGAAAGTCCACCTCCTTACAGACCTGATGAATTGTAAGTAAATACGTAAGTCTTTTTCTTTTTCTTTGACCGAGCCTCGCAGCTTGTGGGATTTGAGTTCCCTGACCAGGGATTGAACCCAGGCCCTCGGCAGTGAGAGCATGGAGTCCTAACCACTGGACCACCAGGGAATTCCCCTTTTCTTTTTTTTTAAAGTCTATTACATGTTTAAAAAAAAAAAAAGGTGTAGTTGAAACTTTCATCTGTTATGTGTTTGCTATAAAATAAAACAGTAGAATAGAATAGAATAAAATAAAATAAAATAAAATAAAACTGTTATGTGTTTGGTTGATTTGTAAAATCAAATTGAACCAAAGGGTATGTGGTGAAGAGTGAGTTTCCCTCTTACCTGTAACTTCCAGGATGACAGTTTTTTTCTGCAGTGGGAGCTATTATCACTTGGGGTGTGTGTGTGTGTGTGTGTGTGTGTGTGTGTGTGTGTGTGTGTGTG